TTTGAAAGTAATTTAAACCTAGGGCCTCTCACATGTAAGGCAGGTGTTCAACCACTGAACTATGTCCCCAGCCCTGAAAGCATTTATAGTTAACCATTATTAAAAGAAAATTCTTTACCATATGGTAATCATAGGTTGCTATTAGAAATATGATCATAGAATATGAAATTAAATTTAGTTTCTAGTTAAGAATTTGTATAACTGCTGCTTTTCATATCAAGCCATTTAAAATTTTAAGAATAAGTTCAAGGGCTGCAATTAAAGTTACATGCTATAGAAATTAATGTACAAAAGTTTTATGCCATTTTTGGGTTAGAAGGATCTAGATTAGCCTTATGAGCTCCCTTTTAAAATATTGTCACCAAGATCTAAACATAAAACTTTTAAACTTTCTAGTAAACAATTGAGAATCTCTCACACATATTTGGCATTTTTTTTGTTTTTTCTTTTTAATGATTATTGCAAGGCAAACGGAGAGTGGGAGGGTTGAAAAGCCTACAAAAAGTGACTCACAGCGTCTGTCTTTGTTTCACTTAGTAGCATTTGCAGAGCAATTACTGTGTGGCAAGAACTATGTGAAATGCCATTTCAAGTTGCTTATGGTTGGTTATAAGTAGGCAGCTGACAGGTTCATACAGAGTAATGAAAACAGGGTACTATTGGTATATAAACTATCTTATCATTTTCCAGACAAAGGGGCCAAAGACATACACTGAAGGAAAGATAGCCTCTTTAAAAAATGGTGCTGGGAAAATTGGATATCCATATGCAGAGGATTAACTCTAGACCCATAGATGTCCCCATGTACTAAACTAAAATCTAAGTGGATCAAAGATCTAAATGTTAAAACAGAAACATTTAATCTGCTGGAAGATAAATAAGTAAAATTCTTGAAGACTGAGGCATAAGTAAGGACTTTCTGAATAGTACCCAGTGGCACAAGAAATATTACTGAAAATCAACAAATGGGGTCATATCAAACTTAAAAGCCTCTGCACAACAAAGGAAACAACCAAAAGTGTAAAGAGACAACTTAAAAATGGGAAAAAATTCTTGCCAGCTGTTTCCCAGATAGAGGACTAACATCTAGACTGTATAAAGAACTCGAAACAATATAAGACCCCCCACAATAAAAGACCCAGTCTAGAAGTGGGCACCTGAAACGAATAAACACTTCACAGAAGTAGTATAAATGGCCAGTAAATGCACTAAGTCTCCGACTTAATGAACATTCACGTTGCAAACTTTCACAGGTGTGCTGTGTAAGACTCACTTTGTCTGCTTAGCAGTAGGCTTGGGCTTAGCAATGAATCCAACTTAAGAACAAGTAATTCTCCAGGAACGGAACCCACTTGTAAATCAGGGTCTTACTGTACAACGGCATTGGCCATCAGAGAAATGCAGATTAAAGCTACATTGCGATACCGTCTGTCTTGGTTACCTTTCTGTCGTTGCTGGGACAAAATATCTGACGACCAAAATTAAGGAAGGAAAGGTATATTTCGCTTACAGTTTTTGGAGGTTTCAGTCCGTACTAGGCATGATTATAAGGCAGAGTGGCACGTGGCAGAGGGCTGCATCTCAGGACGGCAGCACAGCTAAGCAACAACTCACTTACACCGGGGCGGAATGGAGGAGGAATCTCCCCAGCAGCTTCCTCCTCTCCCTTACATATGCAAACTATCCACCCCTGGGCAGGTGCAGCTCTCACACCCATATTCAAACTCTAAAAGCCTGCCCCATGTCCGCATGAGGCTTTGGGGGGACACACAGACATAAACCATAACACCGTCTTACCCCAAAAAGAATGGCCATCATCAAGAAATCAAATAACAAATGATGGCGAGGATGTGGGGGAAAAAAGGAACTCTTTTACACTGTTGGTAGAAATCCAAAGTAGTACAGCCATCATAAAAATCAGTGTAGAGATTCCTCACAAAATAAAAAATAGAAATTCCATTTGACCCCTTCTATATATCTTCCCAAAAGTCCTCATATTACAGGGTTATGTGCATACCTATGTTTATAGCAGCATAATTTATAATAGCTAAATTTTGGCAACAGTGTACTATATATATCTAATGACTCAACAAAAGTTGTTTCTTTGGCCTGTTAGGTAAGGGAGTTAGATTATGTTACCCTTGAATAGATATTAAAGAGCTACATTCGTTCTTTCTATGTAGTGGGAAGCTTGTGCCCATGAGGGCTCTTTTCTAGGTTTAGCTTTTAAAAAGATCTGACATTTGATTGCATTTAAAGGTGAGAAAGAATCTGGAGTTAAGCTCAAAAAGAACTGGAGACAGTAAGACTCAGTCCATGTTTCTCCCATGTGCACCACTTACTTATGGGTTTTAGGTCTGTGTTTTGAGTCATACTTTAGACAGTGAATTGTTCTTTGAAGTTGCAGTCATTGGAGTTAACATGTACAGCATGTTGTTTAGCCCCGTTTTATAAAGGTCTGCTCTGCTTTTATCAAGTAGCAGAACAGTAGCAATTGTAGCACTGCCAGGTAGACTCCCATGACTTAAGGTAACTTTTTCTTTCTTTCTGGGCCATAGTATTTGCCTTGCACAAGTTTAGTTTTAATCCAACAAATGTACAAATTCAGTCACTACATGATGAAAGATTGTGTGCAGGGTTTCATTGTAGAAGTGTATGTAACAGTAAAAATCTGCATATGCCCTAATAGCTGTTACTTGTGATGGATTGAATTATAGTACAGTCACATGTCTTAGTTACTTTTCTCTCGTTGCTGAGACAAAATACCTGACACCCAGAGTTAAAAGGGAAAAGATTTATTTAGCTCATGGTTTGTAGAGGTTTCAGTCCATAATCGGCTGGCTCTGAGGCAGGACAGCGTAGCAGAGGGGCAACAGTTCATGGCAGTGGAAGACAGCAAAACCAACAAGAGAGAGAGACAAGCCTCTTTCTGTCCCCTACGTTGTGTGCAGGCTAACCACCCTAGAGCAGATGTAGCACTCACCCGCTAATCCCAGCACTGGACCATGCGTCAGTCACAAATTCTAAAAGTCCACCCCCATGACTGCGTAAGGCTTTGGGGGAACATTTAGAAACAAGCCATAACAACATATGATGGAATGTTATACAGAAAACAAGAAAGGTTTGTAAGTGCTAATGAAGAGTGATGTCCTGGAATGATACACATGACATAGTTGAGGTTTTTTTGAAGAAAGGATGAATGGATAAATATGCCCCCCGCCAAATTGCTGTTTTCTGTGTGCTCGTTTTAGAAACCAACACATATACAGAGGCTTTAGTCTATGCAGATACATAGGATAATGGTGGAAGGACACACAAGAAATAGAAAATAGTGGTTGCTTCTAGGTAGTGAGAATCATCAAGAGACTTTACATTAAACACTTTATGTTTTGAACAGTTATTTTTTATATTTTGAAGCGATTACGAGAATTTGGGTCAGTGTGTAATAAACCAAAAAAACCACCTAGACTTTGGAAATAATCAAGGCCTACTAACATGGGCAAAACAAACTCATCCTTTGCTGTTTGGATTTTTGTTCAACTTCCATATATTGTTGGTTTTCATAGTTTCTGTCCCATGTCCCACTTCTGAATCATAGATCATTAAAAAACCCACAGAGGGATATGCTTTGCTTTGCTTTTTGTTTTGGTTAGGCAGTGGAGGTTATAGTTGCTGTCTGCTCGTCTGTGATTTGTAAGTTAGGGAAGTGTCCAGTCAGGTTGCGTTGCTATGACAAAGTGCACGTCATAGGTTGGGCTCACCTCTTCGGGAGGCTGGAAGTCAAGGTGCCAGCATGGTTGGGCTCTGTCTACTGAGGGCCTCCTTCCACACTGTAGAGCAGAGGAGGCCTAGAGAGCTTCCCTCGGCCCGCCCACAAGGGCTCCGGCCTCATGACATGTCCTCTAGAAGCAGCCACCTCCTCACCCTGTCTCATCGAGGCTCAGCGCTGCAACATGAATCTGAGGAACATAGACAGCAGGCGGTGTTTGTGAGTTTCTTTGAATGCTAATAGCTCTCAATTTTTAAGTACTTCTTTTGAGATGAATTTAAGGATACTCTTTTGTCTAAAAGCAGTATGTAGTGGCAAATATTTGTCAAATAAGGACGCCCATTTCTTCCCTAAATACTTGTTTTGTTGTAATTGGGACAAAGTGTACATACCGTGAATTCAGATATCTGAGGTGTGAAATTGCTAACTTTTGACAAACACGCACTTGTGCAGTCTACATGCTATCAAGGTATAAAAGTTGTATCGCTCCAGAAAAGTCCCTCAAATTCCTTCCAGATTCTTGTTCTTGCACTTGTTCTTCCTTCCTGTGTTCTTGTTCTTTCACTACAGATTAGATTTATAATTCTTTAATTTCATATAAATGAGATTGTACTGTATATATTCTTTTGTGTCTTATTTTGTTCAGTATAATGTTTTTCAGATTTATTCACTTTGTATCAGTGAATTGGTCATTTTTTTAACTGCAGAAAAGTATTCATTTAATTTTAAATTTCTGTTACTCTTGTATAAATATATTTATAGCTCATCTAGAGGTGGACATTTGGGTCATTTTTTATTTACAGATATTATGAGTAAGACTGCTGTGAATATTCTTATGCAGGTTTTTTTTTTTAATACATGCATTTTTTTTCTCTTCCAGTTTTCCAAAGTCGTCGTACTCGACATCTTGCTTTTTAGTTTTAGTTTTTATCAAAGTTATGCATGATTATATTTCAGAGTGAAATAGTTCTATAAGACTTTACCAAGAACAAGAGTCTCCTGTTCCTTTAGAATTTCCTTCCCTGGAGGTACTTTGAACTATTGGAGTTGACTCTTTTGGTACTACCTCTATGCCTTCCTTAACTTTTACTTGTTTTTTGTTGTTGTTGTTTATTTTTTTTTTATATTCTGGGCATTATTTATGGACTTCCCTTGATGAAAGGTGTAGACTTAACTTTCTTTGGTTCTACTCCAAACCTCCTCCTCGAACACAGCCTCTCTTGTCTCCTTCATATGCGTGAAATGTTTACCTTGTTACCACTATGCAAATACTCTTTCTACATTTGGTTTTCTCCATTGCTGTCTTAGGTATTAATCTATCATTCCCAGAACTCTTCCCATGTTGTTTAACTTTCTTAGTACATTGAAATGTATTAGAAGTTCAGTTTATGGCTCTACCACTTCACTGGGCAAATTACTTAAATCTTCTGTGCCTTAGTTTCCTCACCTGCAAGTTGGGAATCATAATAATAATAATTTCAAGTGTTATTGCAGTAATTACAGTAAGTCCCTGACTTATGAACCAGTTACATTCTGGGAGAACTGTTGGTAAGCTAGATTCATTCATAAGCTGACTGAATTTTATGCAGTACACCTGTGAAAGTGTAACTCGAATGTTCCTAAGTCAAGGACTTACTGTACTTAGGAAGTACAAAGATCAAGAGGGGGGCTCTACATATAGTACTCAATATGATAAGGTTTTGATTTGGCTTTTACAATGTGCAGCAGTTTCTAAGACTATCTTTGAGGAGAGGAAAAGGCAGGCTATATGAAAAAATACCATTTGGTTCCCTGCTCCTGCCATTTTTCATGCCAAATCCCCTGCACAAGATGAAAGGTTAGAATGTTGTCCACCACACAAGACAGACATACCTGTTAACTATTTATGGGAGCAGTGTTGTCCACTTTATGCCAGCTGTCATGGAAATAGGCTCCAGAGCAATCGCAATGAACATGCCCACATGGCAGATGCACATGTTCAGTTGGCTTTAGAGGCTTAGCCTTGCACAGTTCTTTGTTTTAGGAAATAGTTGCTGCGGACCAGCTAAGTGCTCTGGAAGGTATAGTGGTACATTGCACAAAGAAAAGTATGAAGAGAGTAGCACACCAGATGTCCAGGTTTTCTTTTATCTAATGTATTGTATCATGTATTGTCTTCCTCCCACTCTTATTATATATAATAACTTTACCATATCAAGTTAATTTCATTCTTCAGAAAGAATACATAGTTTACTATTATACTACTTTAAATATGGAAGAGTTGACAGCAGCATGCAAAGAAGCAAGTTATTCCTAGTAAGTGAACAGTTAATAAGAAAAAACTCTGAAGCTTTATACTAAAAGAAAACTAGCAGCTAGACTCTAGCTCATTAGATAGCAATAATTCTAAATTTATTTGGAATAAAATACAGTTAATAATGATATCATTAAACATTTTTTAAAAATGTAAATTCGCTGATCCCAAAATACTGTCATAAAAGGATGATATGGTAGTTTATAATACAGAGGCATGTTGTTCTGTTAAATTTTTAATTTTTTTTCAACAGGATTCATGGGATGGACAGCATATTCCAGTACTTTTCTCTGTTTTTTGTGGTTTGTTAGTGGCAGTATCCTATCATCTCAGCCGACAAAGCAGTGATCCATCAGTACTTTTGTAAGTGAAGTCTGTTATTATTAAAGAAATTTAGTAAGTTAAGGGTACTTTGGTAAGTTGGTGTTTTTCTCAGATAGTTTCCAAGACCTTTTTCCAGTCGTTCTAATCAAGTTGCCTGAGCTTTTTTTTCTCTCTCATAAGTATTAAAACTATATTTTAATAAAAAGTATTTTTAGTAAGCATTTATGGTATCTTTAACTTTTTAGAATTTGTTATTTCCTGATAATTAAATATACTTAAGTCCTTTTGTTTTCTGTCATAACCTTTGCTATTGGAATTACTGGTTTTCAGGTTATATACGCATTTTTTATTAATTATTTTTTCTTAATTTTTTTAAATGTAAAAGTTCTTTGGTGCAATCCAAGATTTTTCCAAAAGCAGAAGAAAAAAATCCAGAAGATCCTTTATCTGAAGTAAAAGACCCACTGCCTGAAAAACTTAGAAATTCTGTTGTAAGTGTTACCTTTTAAAATCATCTCCAAGATTTAAATTTTAGATGGTTGATCAAATTATATAATAAAGTTTTTTAAATGTCTTTAGTAATTGGGAGAAGTATAAAGTTACAGTGAGTAGGATTAGTTGTATATTGCTGTTGACCTTAAAATTTTGTCATAAAGGTTGAGGATCCTTAACTCAAATATCTAAAGTGCTCTAAGATCCAGAACTGTTTTGAAACCAACATGATACCACAGTGGAAAATTCCACACCTCATCTTACGTGTTAATTTATAGTCAAAGCATAGGGGCACTAAAAATAGTATGTACAGTTACCTTCCAGCTACGTCTGTAAGTATATATGAAGCATAAATAAATTTTGGTTTTAGGCTTGGATCCTATCCCCAGGCTGTCTTATTATATATACACAACTATTCCAAAATTTGAAAAAAATCCAAAACACTTTTGATACTAAGCATTTTAGACAAGGGATAATCTCTCTAAGAAATATTTGTTCCTCCAGACTTGGTTTCTGTGTAGAACAGTATCTCAGACTGCTTTAGCTCAGTTGAAATGAAGTAATTTCATTGGTCATAGGATGTTTTGTCCTGTTGATGTTAGGCCAGGATATTAAGGATGAATATAATAGTTCCTTTTAATCCTCAATTTCAGTGACCCATAGTCAGTCATAGTCTGAAAATATTAGACAAAAAATTCAGTAATGAAAACTTCATAAATTTCAAGTAGCACCCCATTCTGAGTACAAGCAAGATGAAATCTTATACCATCCCACCCAAGCTGAGAATCATCCCTTTGCTAGCATATTTAATGCTGTGTATACACTCTCCTCCTATTAGTCACTTAGTGGTCCCTGTAGTAGGTACTAGATGTTAGGGCTAGGTATATCGGCAGCTTTTGGGAGCTGTTGATGGTCTTGGAACATATCACTTATGGATAAGAGGGGACTGCTGTGTGAACATAAATTAGATTTGTTATTCTTGTTGAGTTTTTAAAAAAACTATGTACTTGTAGGTCATGTACTAGTGTTTCACTTCTCATGGACAATCTGAAAACTGTTTTTCAATATGAAGGAGAGAGCAATAACCAAAACTAAGTTAATGTACTTAAATAAATGCAGTAATTCTTTTAAATATCTAATTTAGTGAATGATAAATTTTTTAGTATTTATTCATGTAGTCTTCTAATATTTTTTTCAAAAAATGAACTCTATAAATCCGTATCTATTTTATGGATCAAAACATAAAACATTTTTGTTTTATTTTAGATTATTTCCATTTATAAAGGCTTCCTGAGTTTCACATAATACTTACTTTCAGTGGACATGAACTATTCATATATTCTTTAGAAAACTTTAAGGGTGGCAAAACTGCCTTGAGATAAAATTGAAACAAAATTTTTTTTCTGACTAGTTTTCATGTTAGCAAGGCTATTTCATGTTAAGTATAATAGAATGTTCTGAATCTAACATATTTATGTATATAAATCTAATTGTTCAATGATGGCTAAGATTATCAAGCGATTTCTGGCTTTTACTACAAGTTAAGCATCCCTAATCTGAAAATTCCAAATCTAAAATGTCCCAAAATTGACATTTTTAATGTGGAGCATTTGGATTTTCCCATTAGGTATTCTCAGCTATTAAAATCTGTGTATATATATTTCAGTGTCCATAAAACTGAGATCTGAACTACTTCTGGCCTTAGGCATTTCAGAAGAGATACTCAACCTGAGTAACCGCTGAAAGAGTGAAAGCCTGCCAAGTAAAACAGTACAAATGCGTGATGTTTTAATGTTTTAAAAGACCAATGAAATTATATCGTACCCGAAGATATATACACTATAAGTGATTTGGTAACTTAAGAACATTATGTTCTTTCCATTTATGTACAAGTAAAATGCATAGACCAATGATGGGGAAAATCTTCGTCTTAAAAGATTTGTTACAGTATGTTAGCCAGGTGTGGTGATGCGTGCCTGTAATCCCAGCACTTGGGAGTCTGAGCAGGAGGATTGCTGTGAGTTCGAGGCCAGCCTGAATTGCATTGTGAAACTCTGTCTCAAAAACAAAAAAAAAATATGTTTATAACATCCAAGACTAGATTTGTTCCATTTCGGTAGTATTGTATTGCCAAACCAAAAATATAAAGAAGTTGATGAAGAAAATAAGATTTATTGTACTTACTTATTGTATATAAGAAATACCTAAATGTCTTAAGGAGTGAGTGAAAAATTACTTCTTACTTTTCCAATTGAGAAGAAAAGAAAGCTTTCTAAAACAACATTTCATGTGATTGTTTAATAATTCTCTGCTGTTTTGTTTTGTTTTGTGTTTCTGTTCCACAGAGTGAGCGTTTACAGTCTGACCTAGTCGTGTGCATTGTACTTGGCGTGCTGTATTTTGCTATTCATGTAAGCACAGTGTTCACGGTATTGCAAGTAAGGAGCCATTTTTATTCTTTCAGTAAGGGAAGTAACTTGGAACGCCGTTCTCATTTGATTGTACTGTTTTTCATAGCACAGAATTATATGACTTTTTATTTGTTTTGACAGTGAATGTCCCCTTTCTAACAGCGTCTCTGAGTCATGAATCTGGGTGTAGCATAGCCAAAGGAGTCTAGCTTAGGGTCCTTTATGTGCTGCGATCTTGTAAAGTTCATCATTTGCAGGACTTAGTTCCTCACTGAGTCGTGTATATGGTTTGGTTGTTCAGTTTGGGAGGGTAAATACCTGTTCCTCCACTTGGCCAGAAACAAAGGCCTAATTAGTTAATTTTATTTAATAATTGAAACAGTATTGAACTATTAGTTCCTGACCACTTACAGAAATAATGTCCAGTGGGTCATTTGTTGCAGGTGATTAGAGGTTACAGTGGGTCTGAGAAGTTCTGGAGTTCCTAATTACCTGAGCCTGAATTTGAAGTTTTGAAGAGATAGTACTTGCTTGTCTCTTTTGTGAATTTAATCAAATGTAAGAACTCCCTTTCAAGTAAAGTGAAGTACTTTTTTTTCCCCTTATGCTATCTTGCTCTTCTCTGACTATAAGGTTTTATTTTTATTTTTATTTTTATTTTTATTTTAAAGAGTAAAAGAAGGATAATATAATAATGGGGGGGGGCCTTACCAAATTACAAAGTGGTAGGAAATTATCACTGGTTATTGTTTTACATATTGTTATCTACAAGATAGTTTCTCAGGAAAACAAATAGTGAGTTACAGACAAAAGAGGTAGGAGATTATCAATAGTTGTTGTCCTCTATTTAGGTGGCTTCTAAAGAAAATAAATAGAGCTATACATGAGTGACCTATTGAATAATCATTAACTATTCTCAATGGTTGTTGTAGGAAGCACATAATAAGCATGCATCCATTTACGAAATAGCATAGGAAGAATACAAACATTACAGAGTTATGGATAGATTAGTAGGAAAATATCAATGGCTGCTGTAATACATGGCGGTATTTTCAAAGTGGTTTCTCTCAGGAAGACAGAGATACGCAAAAAGGATCTAACAAGTAGTTACAGCCTAAGGGTTGTCAAAAATAGCATATTACCTCCTCACCAGTGACTTCTGTCACTGAGGTGTGATGGTTGAAAGGAAGGCCAGGATTGAAAAGAAGGACCGAGAACCTTGCACCTGTGTCTAGCAACATCTGACTATAAAGTTTTACTTAGCTCACATCCTTTATCTCCACTTATTAGAACAATGTAATGCATCACTCTGAAAGGCACATAGAACATTTTCAGAGCAGGAAGCGGTACCACTCTGGTCACTTGTACAATGGTGTAAAACACAAAAAAGCAAGCAGTTAGCACATTTTAAACATCTGTAATGTAAAATCAGTCACTACCTTTTGTGGCTGAGTTAATCAGAAAAAAATTATATATTGCAGAAACATTAGCTTCAAACAAATGCTTAATTCTTTAGCCAGGCATGGTGGCGCATGCCTGTAATCCTAGTGCTTGGGAGGCTGACACAGGAGGATTGCAAGTTCAAGACCAGCCAGAACTACATAGTGAGACCCTGCGTCAAAAAAAAAAATCCTAGATGGTTTTGTTTTGTGTTTTGAGACAGGGTCTCGCTAGTAGCCCAGGCTGGCCTCGAGCTTCCGTGACCCTCCTCCCTCTGCCTCCCAAGTGCTAGAATTACTGGTGTGCACCACCATGCCCAGCTGTTTCTTAGATTCTACAATTGATTTGGATAGTCTCCATTATCACAGAAATTAGAAGTGCCACGGTGAGTCTCACAGGCGGTCCTAATTTTCTTAACTTTATTTTTCTTTTAGCCCGCTCTCAAGTATGTGTTATATGCATTAGTCGGCTTTGTGGGGTTTGTAACCCACTATGTGCTGCCTCAAGTTAGGAAACAGCTACCATGGCACTGTTTCTCTCACCCTTTGCTGAAGACAGCAGAGTACAATCAATATGAAGTTCGAAGTGAGTATTTCCTCAACACCTTTCTTTTTAATACTATGTTTTTTGTTTTGGGATGTTTTTTTTTTCCTCTTTACTGTGCTGATAGACGACTGAGTTAGATAAGTATCATTAGGTAACACTTTGGCTTGTATTTCTTGACCTTAGGTTTAAAGCTGTTAGCAAATCAGTTCTCTTGCAAGATGCTTTAATTTCAGCTGAGGGAAAGGCCTTGTCAGTGCCACAAAGCTAGCTTTCCACAGGAAAAACTTACCTCTTCCTTACAGACGTTCCTTACAGACCTGTCACTGTCGAATCCTCCTGTGTATGACTTGTCCTTCTAGACCCTACTGTCCCCTATTTCCTTTCCATATGTAGGCAGCGCAAGCTGCTTAAGTCCTCTATTTGAATACTTTTAGCTAAAACAGGTAAGAAAGGTCTTCGCTCTTATTTCTGCCAAAGGCACTGTGTCTTCCCAGAGTGCCATGGAGAGGTTTCCTGTGACTCAGTTTCAGAAGTGTCAGCCCCTTGTCAGCAGGCTGAAGGCAGAAAGAGCATGATGGACGGGCCCGGGCACCCTGTGACAGCCAGGGAGCAGAGAGAGGAGAGAGGAGCCGGGGAAGGAGACACTGCACACCCTTCCAGCTCTCCCCAGTGACCCACCGCTTTTGACTAGACCCACCTTGTGATAGGACTTCCAGCTGTGAATTCATCAATAGGTCAATCCACTGATAAGTGCAGTGCCCCCATGCTCCACCCAGTCACCTTCCAGTGTCTCACCGCTGAACACGAGGCTTTTAGGGCACCTTCTAGATCTCTTCGTTGGCCCCATGACTCACATGCTTACTTCCTCATTGTAGAGAAATAGTAAAAGTTTATACTTATGTCATTCGTTATAAACCAGTGATTAAATAAGCTGCTTCTGCTACCTTTCTTTCAGTTAGTGAGTTGCTATAAAGAGAATAAATTTCTCAGTCATTTGAAGATGAATTAACCTTTTTAAAGAACTCTGAAGCCTTTGAAAGCTTTCTGTTGTAAACTTGTCTTTACATTCTCAAAGAAAATTTCCTAGACCTTTTAGTGAAACTGATTGAAGCATCATGTCACTTTAATCTTGATTGTCGGTTGGATCCTAGAAAGATAATTAAACATGATGTGTATCTTGAACCAGTAGCACTGTGCAGACCTTTTCAAAGAGTGCGCTCCTTTTATAAGGAAAATGACATGAAACTGTGGGAACCAATACTGGCCCATTCTCTGCTTGAGGAGAAGAGAGTGAGGTGTTTTTTTTTTTAGTGAACTATTGGCATCACTTCTATACATAAGTGATACTACATGTCATGTACCTTAAAGGTAATAGTTATTAAAATGAATAATAGATCATGTTCTTTATTTTAGATCTTAAAATGACTCTAAATTTTTACAATTTTGAACGACTATAACATTTTTGACTTATTGAAAGTACTAGGTGGTAGGAAACGTAATTTTTTTGTACCGATTTTGGCAATTGAAAGAGAAATATGTTATTCTTTGGAGAACTTCCTAAAAGCCTGGTGATACTGTTTTCATGTTGCCAGAAAACCATATATTAAATCTACAGGGTTATCTGAGATACTTTATTGGCAATGAGAATTTTTTTTATGAAGTATATGAAATTAAATGTATTTGCATATCTTTCCTGAGATATTATGTCATATATAATACATATATGTGTATATGCACATATATGTACATATATGTGTATATGCACACATTTTCAAAATAGATAATTTAATACATCATCTATTTTAAGGTATGGTACACCCTGATAATGTTCAGTGATCTTTTTTCCATGAGATATTGGCATAAGTGAGAAAAAGTTAGAGTTTTAAAACTAAAGTTTCAGGATTTACAGTTTCCAGTGAAATTCATTTACATGTAAGTTATAATCAAGGTGGAAACTTGTTTCAGAATTCGCAGAAGTTGATAATTGGTTACAGTACTAGATTTCTTAAATTTTTTATTTATAGTATATTATAAAATTTGATCTATAAGGTTTTCCTTCGTCATCACATTGTAGGACTACTTTATACTTTAGGTGATAAGTGGTTTTCTTGACTTATGTTGCCTTCTTAGATGCAGCCACTATGATGTGGTTTGAAAAACTTCATGTATGGCTTCTTTTTGTGGAGAAGAATATCATCTACCCACTGGTTGTCCTTAATGAACTTAGTAGCAGTGCAGAGACAATTGCCAGTCCAAAGAAACTGGATACAGAGTAAGTATAATAGTCCCTGGGACTTGTTAAAAGCAATGTCTTAAGTTGTTGATCAAGTTCCAAATCATCATTGAGTGTTTCTACAGTATAAGAAATACCAAGAAATTTAAAAATTTCATGCAATATATTTTTGACTTGGGGCCGGGGATTTAGCTCAGCGGCACAGCACCTGCCTGGCAAGTGCAACTTCGTGAGTTCGATTCCTGGTACCAGAAAAAAACAAAAAACAAAACAAAGTAAAAATATTTTTGACTTCCTCTTTTGAACATACATTTGGCTTTTCACAAATTCACTATTCCAAACATCTCATTGTCAGCTGGTACTTTATGAGAAGACATTATTAAGTAGGTTAACTTTAATATTAGATGGCAGGTTTGGGAGATGGCTGTTTGTGTGTGTGTATAATGTAGGACATGCCATGTGGGTGGTCCGTTGCATACATTGTTATCTTATAGGCCTACCTACCATAGGTGCATGTTGTGAAGTAAATGTTAAATAATGTTTTTCATTTGTTAAGAGCAATTAATAATTTTTTAAGAGCAATTAATAATATTAAAGTGATAGAAGTAATGAGAAGCTAGAGAACCAAATGTCAGTTACAATACTATTTATTTCTAAAACGTGTTTATTTGCATAGAGTATTAAGAATTATAATACATACTATTAAAAGAGACTTTTGTACAAGTTAGATCCAGTCAGGATGTGATTTGCTTCACTATATAAATCATTTTTAGAAGTTTACATTTGATGTGTATATTGTAAACTTAGTAAACGTAGTGGTGATTTTTCGAAAGTCAGCAGATTCCATTGTTCATAGCCATGAGCCGATGAGCTGTGCTTTCTGTCTGTTACAGATTCGGTGCTTTAATGATCACCATCGCGGGCTTAAAGTTGCTGCGATCCTCTTTTAGCAGCCCTACGTACCAGTATGTCACCGTCATCTTTACTGTGCTCTTTTTCAAGTTTGACTATGAGGCTTTTTCCGAGACAATGCTATTGGATCTCTTTTTCATGTCCATACTGTTCAACAAGGTAATTTATCACTGAAAATAATGCTTCTGTCTGTAAAGTCTCTCTCTCTAACATACTCCTAGGTAAAGATTATGCTTATATTTCATTTGATTTATTATCTTTTTAGTAGTGTGCCTCTTCAATCAACCAGTTATTTTGGAGCATATTAGAATTGCTACTCAGTGCTATAATTCATAAAAGATACAGTATATTCTTTGTGAGAGCTATGAAGATAAAAGCAAGGTATATAGGAAAATTAGAAAAGTATGCATTTCTAAGTATATAAGACCTTCCAAAGAGAGTGTGGCTTTGAGTAACTTCAAAAATAAAAATGGTGATAGTTGAGTTAGGCTCTGGGCTGCTGGATAAATGGAGGGAACAAATTCTAATGGAAATTCACCTAATTAGCTAAATGCAGACAGTAAAGCCATGCAGGAGCAACCAGAAATTAGATATTCTGAAGTTTATGAAATGCTTCTAAAATCCATTACCACTCGTAAGTGTCCTCATTCCCTTTAAAAGTGACACCTGAGTCCTCTCTCTTGATGCAGCGATCATTTTGCTGGACCACATTACCTTCCTACATTAAGTAGGCTGTGGGTTGTACAGTCAGATTGTTTGTCAATTAAATACCAATTAGATTTCATGTTAACACCACATACAAGGGACTTCGACATATATTATCCTATTTGATAGGTATCAGAGAGCTGAAGCAAATGAACAGCTACAAAACACAATGAAAGTCCCAATTTTAGGCAAGTTGGCCTTGTCAGCCACTTTTGGGATGAATTGGGGAAGAGAGAGAACCTGAAGGTATGGAGAATGGTTTGGAGATTACGACAGTGGTTCAGATATGATGGCTATCTACCTGACCCAGGACGGGAACGGTACAAGTGGAAAGCCATTAATCTGAACAAGGTTTTAGTGATAGTCGGTTCCAGTATTATAATGGAAACATTCCAGTATTATATTTGTTCAGCCACTAATTTATATGCCTTTTTATCACTTATTTCCTCTTGTGAACATGGTTATTAACCAGCGGAAGCCAGAAAGTTAAGCAGGGAATTTTTTTGTGTAAAGAAGCATGTAATTGCTTATAAACGTAAATACTTAGATTTAAAATTGTATTTCCTAATGTGCAGAGGTAATCATGAACAAACGCAGCACCCCTGTTTTAGTGTAGAGGTTCAGCTGCAGTAGTAAATCCAGCGTTAATGAAGGTTAAAACGTGCTGTGCTTCCACTGACAAAGCTGAAGTTATGTGCACATGCCTGCCAGTAGTGCACACGGCTAGGTACCCTGCCGACAGGCAGTGAGAACGCTATTGCAACTGCCGTGTTCACACGCCTTTGACATTGCATTTGAAACATACTTTGCTTCTAGACCACTGAAACTTGAGAAAAATGAACCTTAAAATAAAATAAATACAAGTTCAGTATGTTGGCAATTCATAAAACTTTTCCTGTTACACAAGTGGCATATTATTTTTATGTCATCTCCCTACTAGGAAGAAAATGTACTTTCTAGGTCTTTCATTTTCTTATTCAAATATCTGATAATTTTTTTTGCTGATGTTTTCCTTCTCTTCCTGCAGCTTTGGGAACTCCTTTATAAGTTGCAGTTCGTGTACACCTATATCGCTCCGTGGCAGATCACGTGGGGTTCCGCTTTCCATGCGTTTGCTCAGCCCTTTGCCGTGCCCCGTATCCTTCTCATGTTCTGTGAGCGTGGACAGTTACATCCTTGATGAGAATGTTGGTTTTAGACGTAACCTTTCACAGGCATAAAATATAAATATAAACATAATGTTATTGTGAAACATTAAAAACACATAATCTTTTGAATCTACGGTTATCCTGATTTAGATTGTATAACTTGTTTAACATCTATTTCCCAAAGATGATCTGAATGTGAGAATTAATTTACAATTTTATTTGGTTTGTGGGCCTGGGGATTGAACCCCTGGTCTTTATACTAAGCTACATCTCCTGCCCTCATCTATTTTTAATTTTGAAATAAAGTCCTGCTAAATTACTAAATTGACCTTGAACGTGGGATCCTCCTGCCTCAGGCATCCAGAGCACTGAGATTAAAGGTATGTGCTCCCACACCTGGCTAAAAATCTTATATTTTAAGTATAAATTATTATGAATGGCATTAAAGTCTAGGTTTTTTGTCTTCTGGTACCGAAAATCGAACTCTGGACCTTACGGTTGCCGCTGAGCTATATCCCTGGCCCCCTAGGAATTTTTAATACATATAAAACATTTAGAAATATCTCTAAAAAAACTTTTTTCTTAATGATGATAACTAAACTTCTGTCTGAAATTTCTATTTTCATTTCTTGTCTTTTGGGTTCTTTTGAGATAGGGTCTTGCTGTATAGTTCAGACTGGCTTTGAGCTCGTTATGCAGCCCAGGCTAGCTGCAGTGATCCTTGTGCCTCAGCCTCCCGAGTGCTGGGATTACAGTTTTGAGCCACCACTCCCAGCTTGTACTCATTTCTTAAAGTGCTTTCTAAGTAACACTAAAGGTTAGGGACTGTAATGATGTTGCAACACTTCTAGTGTATGCACATTTTAGTTTTAACCTTCTGGAAAACTAAACCCACCTATCTCTTCCTAGACCAGACACATATTAGCAGGTATTTTTTGGCTCCTTTCCAACCAGCACACCGGCTTGTCCTTCCTCTCTGCTCTTTCTGCTGGGTGCCCCTATGCTGGCTAGGGACACCCTCGTCCATATGCTCTCATTCCGTGCTGGCGAACCAGTGGTGAAGTGTGTGCCGCAGCAGGCAGGTTGTTCGTATCACTGAGAATTCTCAGAGGTTTGCCATCACTTCTCTAATCGCCATCATGTAAATGTGTTTGTGAGAATTTTCTTCCTTTCTTTTTGTAATGTGTGTATTCAGATCAGTGTTAAGTCCCTTATCCAGTTTTCCCCCAGATTCAGCCATGCTGTTTATTCAGGCTGCTGTGTCAGCCTTCTTCTCTACCCCGCTAAACCCCTTCCTGGGAAGTGCGATATTCATCACTTCGTACGTCCGACCTGTGAAATTCTGGGAGAGAGACTATAAGTGAGTAAAGTAAAGTACTTGAAAAACTATTGAGAACATTATTAGCAGAAGTTATTTATGGTTCATAATTTGATATATTCAAATATTTATGCTAAGAAACTGATAAATTTTCTCCTTTTTTTTATGGAGACAGGGTCTCGCTAAGTAGTTTAGGCCAACCTAGAACTCACGGCAGTCCTTTTGCTGGGATTATAGGCATGCACCACCATACCTAGCAGAAATTTATAAATATTTTTAAAATTTGAAAATTATGTAAAAGATAGGAAAGTTAGAGAGAAATTACTCTTTATTTTCTTACATTTTCTACTCAGAAGATTTTTAAAAACAATTCTAATTGAATATACTCATTTTTTTCTTTCAGTGGTTTTAAAGAATTATTCCACATTATAATACTCTGAATATATATGTTGTGCCATGTTATATCATCACCATTAAGATTAATTACAGTTTTGTAGATACAGGTGGCTACTTCTAGAGCTACACTTGTACAAGTTATCTCTTTTTCATGAAGGAAAGTTTTTAATGACCATCTGTGTGCATAAAGTGTTTTCTCCATTCAGACTTAATTTTTTAGGCTAACTAATGTTTAGTAAACCATCCTTGTAAGTAATCTTTCCAGATTTCATCCTCTACATTCATAAAGGGGAAATTATTGAGTTAGAACGTAAACATTTTATGTACACATACTCACATTGATTTGGGAAGAGTTTATACTAGTTTATAATTTTACTGGCCGTCTCTGTGAGTGCCTTTCTCTGTATTGTTGCACATTGGTATATTTGCTCCAGAATTGTGGTTTCATCTTTGAAACAATGAACTAGTTTGTCAGGTTTGAAAATTTTGCTCTGTTCCTTTATCTAAAGCTGTACATGGTGTTTCCCATTTTGGTGAATTTCAGGGTTATTTATACCTGTTCTGTGGCACCTTCTAGTCCAAAGTACTGGTCTGTGGTAGCACCTCTTAAAATTTTTGATCTCAGAATCCCTCTGTACTTTTAAAAATTATTGAAAGTGCTAGTTTTTAAGATATAAACCTTATATATCAACAAATAAAAATGTTTCAGAAAAACTAAAATTTTAAAAAATGTTTATTATTTTAAAGAGAGCAAAAGTATATCCTTGGCATATTAGCGTAAATAACATTTTAAAATTAAAAATAAGTATATTTGTTCACCTACCGAAACATAAGTGAGAGGAATGGCATTGCTTCACAGTTTTTCAAATCTCTTCGTGTCTGGCTTGTTAAAAGACGGTGGATTCTGCCATCTGCTTCTGCGTTCAGTCTGTTGCAGAACGTTGTTTTGCTTGAAATGTCTGAAGAAATTTTGCCCCCCCACTGATGGGTAGTTGAAAAAGAAGTATTTTAATAGACTTTTAAGAGAGTTTTGGATATTTTTTGATCCTTACTGAAACTCAACAAATAGTATTTTATTAAAAGTTCATCGCAATGTGGAATCTAACCTGTATCTGTAAACTTTCGAAACTGTTACACCAAAATTCACCTGTTTATACTTTGAATAGATCGTTTACTCAAGCATAATTCTGTTACATTATTTATTGTTCATTTGAAAATTACTGTTTTACTGAACAGCACATTTCCCAAATACTGACACATTTCATTATGCAGTGTTTTAAAAAATGTGTTCGTTAGTGTCACCATCAGCCTCAACATGAAAAGTTGATAAGTGTCAGGAAGTTACCAAGCTCATAGCAGTAGGCATGTTTTCTCAAATTCTAATTTTTGCTTGACTCGTTATCATTGTCAACAGATACTTCCAGATACTTGTTTTCCTTGAAAGGAAGGTTAATTTTTTAAAAAATTTTTTGTACAATGTCTGTTCAGTAACATTTGTGAATTATTTTCCAGTTTCTTCATCAGGTATTCAAGTCAAAATGGTGTAAACAAGCTGTTAGTTTAGCTTGCAGTTCACACAGTTGCACAAGTGCTTTTCCTCAGGACAACCAAATCTAGCAGCAGTGCGTTCTGTGTGGTTTCTCATTTTGCTGTGCAGAACATTAGAAAGTCCTGTAATAAGATGTTGAGATTTAACAAAAATAATTTTACTACATCAGTAGAAGCGTTTTGAGTGAATGCATTGTCTGTCTCCTTGTGCGTGTTTGGCGGTGAAGGATGGGGCGGTGCGGTGCCACTGCCTTCATTCCTCCTCACACACTAGCTCTTACTCACCCCTGCGTTTGCACCATCCATGCAGCTTGTTAACGCAGTGAAAAAAGGCCAATGACAGCTCAGTGTGGGTAAGAGAACAGTTCCGATCTGGAAGACTCCCTGAAGCACTCTGGGGTCCTGTGGACCACATTTTGGGAATCCCTCCTCTGCAGGCTGCAGTCCCACTGGGCGTTAACAGATGTTCCTTCCCTTGCAGAGAATGCCTCATGCCCAGTGAATGTCTGAGAATGAGACACACAAAGTCCACATCTTTCGTCCTGGACAAGTTTGGTCACGACACAGTCACGGGTGTCTTCTCCACACTCCGTAGTGCAACACACAAAGGGGAAAACAGCTGTGTTTGTGTGTGGTGAAGCTGGGAGGGAGAAAATACAAAACTGTATCCTTAAAATCAATTGTGTACAAAGAGTACCCTAGCCGCAGACTGCCCAGAGATTTTCTGAAACAGGTTGATTGTTGTCAACTATACCCTGCAGTTTCTCACTCATTCTTAATTCTGAAAAATTTTTAAAGTATGGAGTTGCTAAAAATGTTTTCTTTCTGTCATCTTCAGCACAAAACGAGTGGATCATTCAAATACCAGATTGGCTTCTCAACTTGATAGAAATCCAGGTAATACATTTATGAGTAAGGTGCTAAGTCTAAGGAAGATAGATCTATATATTCTCTATATCTGTATATATAGTGAAGATATATTCCCAATTCATTGGAAATCCTCTGAGTTCCAAATAATCATTTGTAAAAACTACATATCCTGTGGGGTTTTTTTGTTTTACTTTAGTAAAGTATATTTAGAGTATGTCCCAATATATGTAATCATTTATAAAATGCATTTTAATACTGTTTATAGAAAAAAATGCCGTTCAAAGATTGTTTTTATCTAAGTTAAAAAGTAGAAAACATTTAAAAACTGGTGATACATGTTGAAGGATATGCAGTCAAACTGTATACATGTTTCATTCATATATTTGCTGCCACGCTTCCCTAAATGTTTAAATATTAGATATTAATTTTATTTAGTCTGTTGTATAAAAAGATGTCATCTGGGTGAAGGGGGCAAATAAACACTCAGGACAGGGCTTCTGTGGGTGGCAGTTTGGTGGCGGTACCATTATTTGAAGTCTGGTTTGTAGCTTTGTCATTTGGAGAACATTTTATCAGCCTACTCAATGGTGATCTCAGACAAAGTAAATCTCACTGCCTTAACCATAAGAGTTATGGTTAATAAATCAGAACTCTATTAATTTACTAAAAGGAACATTACTCTCAAGTAGACTAGAATATTTATATTGATTTGATTCATAAATTCCTTTGATACTGTAAGAAACCTTACATTTGAGAAGCCATCTTAGAAACCAAATGATAAGAATCAGACTCATTCTCAGTTACAGAACTGGAGTAAGGAGAACTGTGACATTAGTGCCTGTTACTGTGAGAAAAGCACCTTGTAAGTTCTGTTTGAGCCTGCAAGAGGCTGAAACCCTCAGGTGGCCAGCAGTGCTGCCCTGCATAACAAATCACTGCACTTGTGTAACAGCAGACACAGGGTTAGATGCGGTCGTTTTAATGGGTGCCAGCTAGGGTCCCTTTCATTGTTTTAGGGTTTAGTTAGTCTAGGTTTGACATGGTCACTAAGCTTTGACTTTTGCCCTTCTCTAATACTCCACTTAGGGTGCCATTTACAGGTTATTGCTTTGGATGGATTACTTCTAGACTTAGGCCCATATTCAACCGGGTTTTATAGTAATGCCTTTCTTACTCGATAACCCTAATGGCTAATTTTTTAGGTTCTTTGTTACTGTGTCTGTATATATAGCTTACCTCTACTTAATATCAGCTATTTTGATACTCATTTTTTAAAAATTCTCTTTGTTTTGGATTTCCCTAGTTATTCAAATCTTGTATTATTTTGCCCACTTCCTTTACCAGATATTTTTTTTTTGTTCTCTGAAGTCTTTTATCTCTCTTGCATGGCTTTATCTATAAGGCTCATTTCACTAAATGACAATAATAACTCAGTGAATCATAAATTATGGACTGTTGCAAAGGTAGAAAAGTCCTTAGATTGCCGCTAATCAGATTCTCACATTACACACATGAACCATCAGGGAGGTATGTTACTTGTAACTCTCAATTCTGAAGTCTTTCTTATGATCCTGTTTCGTCTCTTTGGCTCACCCCTCCCTTCTTTCCTTGCTCCCTTCCCCTCCCCTCTCCTCTTCTCCCCTTCCTTCCCCTTCTCTCTCCTTCCTCCCATCCTTTCTTCCTTCTTTCCTTCCTTTTTGTATGCTGGGGATTGAATCCAGTGCTTTGTGAATGTTAGGTAAGCAGTCTATTACTGAGCTAGATAGAGAAATTAAAAGGATATGAGTACTACCTTTCTTATCAAATAAATACAAATACAACCCTAGCTGGGAGTTTTAATGTTTTCAGCAATCGTATTTGTCAGTGTAAGAGTGGTATAAGGTGGAATTTAATGTTTTGATTTTTTTCTTTTACTCCCTTCTTACAGGATCAGATGATAACAATCTGAATTCCATCTTTTATGAACATTTAACCAGATCCCTACAACATAGCCTCTGTGGTGATTTGCTCCTAGGACGGTGGGGAAACTACAGCACTGGAGACTGTTTCATCCTTGCCTCTGACTATCTCAATGCATTAGTACACCTCATAGAGATAGGCAATGGCCTGGTGACTTTCCAGCTGCGGGGACTTGAATTTAGAGGTAAGACATTCATTCACTTTCTATATTTATAAAATGTACTCCTACAAAACTCATAAAATTGAATCTTTAAGATGTGGGGTAAAAAAAGTTGTTAAAGAATAATGGTTAGTTTTCGCCCTCAAATTTCACGTGCACAGAATAGTCATTTATGCAGTATGGCACGGTATGTGAAGGTGGTGGCATTAGTGTGTGATTGACTTGTTTACTTGGAGATACTGAACTCCCATTGCTCTGAGCTCGGTCTCGCCGGGTATTTTGTGACCAGCTGTCTGCACTGGCTTAATGCACAGAGGTGTGGCATGCTGTGTTCTTGTGTAAGGCAGAGTAATTAACTGAATTATGTTCCTAAAGATACTGTGCCATTGTCCTCAACATTTTTTAATTGAAATGAAATTTACATAAGCTAAAATTAACCTAAAATGAAGAAATCATTGGCATGAGTACATTCACAGTATTGCTGCAAACCATTTTATCAATCCAAAATAAACCTAATATCCATTTAAACAGGTATTCCCCATTGCCCTTCCCACCAGCCTTCTCAGAGTTTATGTACTGACAAAGGCATTTCTACCTGGAAATTATAGATTCAGCTATTCCTGTAAGTTGAATACCTTATATGTCCAATTAGTCACTTAGTTTATTGGAATTTCAGTTCCTACAACTGAGTATCTTTCTGATGTAGGGAACATTTAGGCTTAAGATCTTTTATTAGAGTTCTTGATCTATACTAACATGTCCTGGAGTGTTTTTAGTCTGGAATAGGAAATAAGAAAACATTTGACGAGAAAGAGGATTGAACCAGATCTGTACTCCATAGTCTTATTTTTCACTCTGGTAATTAATCAAAAAGCTTGTGCCTTTGTTTTGGAGGATATACATAGGTAGAACAAGTACTTTTCCAGAAGGTACTTTATTCACTAGAAATTAAGCTTTATATATGTAGCACTCTATCTCTTCTGTACTTATACCCCATGTTTTTCAAGTATAAGCCAGCTAGACTCATGTGAAAGTCAGTATACCCCTTCTACTACATATTTTACACTGCTAGCACTTTTAACTTCCTTTTCAACACTTTTGGTACCTATTTTTTTTTAATTTTAACTAATTACATGGAAAAACTGGTATAACTAATACTTGTTTTTCTGTAAAATGATAGGTCTTCCTTACCATCTTCAGTACCAGGGATCAAGCCCAGGGTTTGAATACTGGCTAGGCAAGCACTCTACCCTACCCCTGAGCTATGTCCTCAGCCATAGCTAACTGAAAAATCCATGACACTAAATTTTTCATATAGTATAACCAGGAGGGAAGTAAAGTACTAGTAGGATTTGTGTGTGTGCACGCATGCATGTGTTCGTGCATACACGCATGTATGTGAGCTTAGTAAACGTTTGCAGTGCATAATAAATATGGGCTATTGATACACATGTCACTTAATCCTTGTTACTTTCTCTTCCCCACCCTTCTCTTTCTTCTCCCATCACTAGATCTCCTTCCCATCCCCAGAGTCTGCTCTTCTGTTTCCTGTTGTTGTTTCTTTTAAACAACGCTTTAAAAATACAAAAACATTCTTAGTTTGGTTTGGCTCAGAGTTGAAGGCTGCCAACCTTCTCTTAAGAGTATAGGTCCTTAAAAAAGAGTGTAGGTCCTTAAA